AGTTCAGTATATGAAAACTGTAACAATATATTATGGGGTTCATTATTTATTGTGCGTCAAAGTGGGAAAATCTGGGGTATTTTTGTTGTAATACAATAAGATTTGAGCTGTAGAGGGTTGAATAACTAAATTCTATGGATAATTATTGGTTCGTTCTGCTGTTTATTTGTTGCAGCTCAGACTTTTTTAATGATACTGTCTCTGCAGAAATGACTGGCAGAATGATTTGAATCCTAATGTTGATTTTTGCATTAAAGGCGATGTACCTGCAAAACAAATCTACCTGCGGAGGACAATTAAATCACCTGAACATGATTTTCACAATCTTAAAAAATATGTGATAAACAGAACTTTTTGTTTTTTTTTTTTTTTTTTATTGTTCAAGCCATTTCATTTTTTATTTTTTTTTTCGTTGTTGTTGACAGTAATTTAAAGAGAACAACAACAAACTCTGACAATTAACATAAATACATATTCCAGCCATTATGAATCTTGTTACTACCATGAACAAAAGGAACCCTGCTCCTTTCACAAGTCAAGAGACCAATGAAAAGTTGACTTAAATAGCAATCCTAGCCAGAGTCCTGCACCAGGTCAGGTAACCAACAGGTATGGGCAAATAGTTGCTGAAACGGGCGGGTTTTAACATTCTGGAGTTTTACGGGCGGGTATGTGGGCGAGTAGTAATTACACACGGGCGGTTCAGGACTAAATCAGGATTAAACTAGGACTACACCAGGACTAATCTTGGATTTAAGAGAGAGAGAGGACCCTAAGCCCGCAGAGCAGTGTGTCCGCAGCTGTGCTTATCTCCATGTGGCACCAAGCTCTGCACCGGTCCTTTCACCTACGGTCACCCAACAGTCTACGCCGGCACACCTCCCAGCCTGTCCCGACAGTCCTGGTTCAGTTCTGGTTTAGTCCTGGTTTAGTCCTGTTCAAATCCTAGTTCAGTCCTGATTTAGTCCTCCTGGAATCAGTCCTGCAATCATTTCTGGTTTAGTCCTGGTTTAGTCCTGGTTTAGTCCTGGTTTAGTCCTGGTTTAGTCCTGATTTAGTCCTTGGAATCAGTCCTGCAATCATTTCTGGTTTAGTTCTGGTTTAGTCCTGGTTTAGTCCTGGTTTAGTCCTGGTTTAGTCCTGGTTTAGTCCGTGGCGTGTGCGGCACAAAAGTCCGGCATCTTTGTTTCTTCTGCTCAGTAAATATTGCCTGAGAAGTGATGACAATCTCGTCGCGTCTGTGAATTCATATTCGTACTGAAGAAAGCGTAACTGTTTCATTTCATTTCGTGTTTGTAATTCTTGAAGTTGTAACTTTTCAATTCATATTCTGATGGATGCTTCAGTTAGAATGCTTTTAATTTGTGTGTGATTTATCATGGGCAGGGGCGGGTGCGGGTTTAACTTTGATAAAATCACGGGTTAAGGGGCGAGTGCAGTGCTGTACTGCAGGGGTGTGAGTCTCCAAAAATGGACCCGTGCAGGACTCTAATCCTAGCTTAGTGTGTATTTTTCTAATGCTTTCCTAGCATTCTTAATAACTTTTAGAGCCCAATGATTAAAAACTACAAACCCTAGTGCCAACAGTGCACCAGCTTTAAGTTTCACAGTGGATAAAATGTGTTATAACTGCACACATTTTACTTTATTACCTGAAAAACAAAAGGTACAGCTCCTTTAAGATTAAGAAATTTACTTTTTAATCAGATTTTTGATTTGCACCACAAAACCAAATCTCAGACAGTAAGGTAATTTGTTATCAAGTTTGTCCCTGTGAGTCCAGGAACGTACCTTTTATTATTCAAAGATATACTGGTGTGATGTACTGGTATAATGTAAACCTGCACTCTCTTTGTACTGTGGCCCACCTCCTCCCCTCACTCCTGCCTCCTCTCTGGTTCTTCTCCTCTTTCCTCTCCTCCTCCTCAGCGCTCCTCTGTTCTCTGTACCTGCTCATGCATTACTGATTTCTCTCTGCTCAGGTATTCTGTGTGAAGTGTCCGGCTGACACACAAAGGCACATGAGCCAAGAGCTGGACTCAGAATAATAATGAACAAAGTGTATCTGTGCTCCAACACAGTGCGCTCAGGCAGAGTTTAAAGGTCCTATATTACGCAAAATTGACTCTTGTGAACGTTAAGCCATGTTACAATGATGGTACTTCATAAAAAACAAACCTGGAGTTGTGTTTTGTTTCATTCACACATGTTTGAGTAACTTTTATAATGAATCTGTCTACATCTCCAAAGCTCAAAATGCTTAGTTCCACATTGTAATGTCAAGAAGCAGTAGTTTGTGTAAGTTAACAGATACGTTTTGCCTTTTGTTCAGTAGAGAGTTCAAATTCCAAGACTGAAATTATCCACATGATTCTAGTGAAGGTGTATGGAGTTTAAAAACACAGTGGAGAACAGGAGTTGGGTGTTTATCATGTTGTGGGCACTAAAATCTGCATATCTGCCTTTTTATTTGGCCAGAAATCAGGTCTCTGTGAAATTATTTATTATTACATAGGGATGTAATGATATCTAACTCTCTCTGTACGTTATTATCACGATATGCATCTCACGGTACGATATTTATTGCGATATTTTGGGGAGACTATTATAATTATAGATAGGACACTTTTTTTTGCTTTTAAAATACCATATTTTCCAGGCTATTAGGCGCTCTGGATTATAAGGCGCACTGTCATTAAATGGTCTATTTTCAAACTTGTTTCACAAATAAACCGCACTGGACTTTAAACGAAACACAACAGTTGGATGGGTCAGTTGGACTTTGTTTGTCGCGTTCACGGTGACTCTGGGCTTTGTTCAGTTGTGGCGTGTAGGGAGGGTGCTGTCTGGGACCACTGGATTGTTGGCGTGTTTGCAATGACTCAGTTGTTCAGTTGTGGCTCAGAAAGGCACATTGGACTCGCTTTTTTAGTTCGTTCCTCCGTTCTATTCCTCTGTCTGTCTGTGGGTGTTTTTCGCTGTGCGGTCGCTGTCTGCTCTGTGTGTGTTTGTGTGTTCTGTGGGTGGTGCGGCTTTGTAGCTTTACTGAAGTCGTGCTGGGACACCCGAGTGGATTCGTGTATAGGGCGCTCTGGATTGTGGGCGCGTGGTCATTTTTTGATGGGGTTAGAGGCTTAAGAGCGCGTTTAATAACCCAGAAAATACGATACCTTGACAAGATTTTGGTGTGAATTATTTCCATCATAATCCCAAGAATTCAAGTAAAAAAACATATTTCTTAATATTGTTTGGACTGAAATGAATCATGGGATATGTAGTTCCTAATGTTCATAAGCTGTTGCTACTATAAAACCCTGCATTTAAGCAAAGGAACTTGTAATTTGATATATTGTGACAGCCCACGATATTATTGTGAGACTTTTGATGATACGGTATCAAGATATTTTGGGTATTGTTACATCCTTATTATTAGATCACTGACAAGGTTTAAAGTTCAGATATGGGTTGAAATAAGGTCAGGGAAGTAGAGACTATGGCTGAGGTTTGGCTCCGTCTCTTAGAAAGGAAGTCAAAGTAATGTCCCTGAGAGGCATGGGAACCCAACATATGTAGCATAGGGTGTCTGTGTCCTGTGAGCTGGAGATAAGCACAAATCCACTCTCAGCCATCTTGTCCATTAGTGACATAGGAACAGTCGGACTCTGGGTGGTCATAAAGCGCTCTGTATGTGAGCTAGACCCCTCTGTGTGATTGCTGGTGCAGGAAGTGCCTTTAAACACATGTGTGTGAGTCCACAGAGCTTTGGCACAAACCATCTCCAATCTGTCTGTTCACTGATAACAAAATCAATACAGAGTTTACAGCTCTGGCCCGAGTCACACAAGGAGAGGGGCACTTCCACTGGTCACACACTTCTATTTACACAAGTCTGCACACTTTAAATTAACTTTGGCTGCTTCAGAAATGGGCAAACAGCTACATTCAAAGGCGGACTTTTATAGCGTATGGTAAAAAGGTGCAGTAACAAAGTAGAGAACGCCACAGGGACATGGCAGCCTGAGAGCACCCAGGCCTGAGGAATGTGCTGTGTGTTCCTCCCCAGTCTCAGAGCAGGACCACACACCTGAGCTCCACACTCTTTAAATTCCTGGAGACAAATCCTAAACTTAGTTACTACTTACCTAACCAAAAACCCTTAACTTAACCTAATTCAGACCATATCTTCACTTCAATTTGTTGGTCTATTTACGTCAATGGGACATGATTTTGGTGCCCATGAGGGAGGTACATAGCCTGATTCATCAACCCTCACAGCATTGGGATTCATTCGCTTGACAGTAGGCGGGTACTTTTTTATTTAACTAATCGTTACTATTTGGTCGTGATGTATATATGCGCCAAATCACGTAAGAAGGAGGGCAATAACGTCTTTTCCCTTGATAAAATTCACCAAACATTCTCTTTGTTCCGGCTTTAAATCCTTGATCTCGGGAACCGTTGCCAACACAGAATGTCTGTCCTCGTCTACATCCATCTTGACCTCTTTGTTTACTGTTGTACTGTACCACAAAAAGGGACCTAGTCATGGCTTCACAGCTCTTCGCTGATTGGCCGGTGTGCGGTCTACAACTTCCAGGGCAAACCATCTAGTGTATTCCAATTGCTGACCTAGTTGCAAGAGAGAAATGAAATTGAGCGGAAGAACTAGGTGCTGCCAGCCTGGCTACGAGATACATTGACATTATGTGAATATGAACAAAGTGATAAATGTAAATATTGTTTATCTGTAACCACTGGCATAAGCTTGACATAAAATCAATCAATCAATAATACCACTAGACAGAGAATAAAGTGTTAATCAAACATGTGTGAATGAAACAAAACAACTCTAGGTATGTTTTTGAGGAGGTAACAGCATTCTAACATGGTTAAAAGCTCACAAGAGTCAATGTTATGTAAAATAGGGCCTTTAAAATGCATAAAAGAGTGAGAAATGTTTAAGCATAATGTAGCGCGGGTGCATATGGAGTTTTTCGTACCTTTGACGATGAGGTCTGCGTAGTTGGACACTCCAGAGCCTCCGTCGGAGCGGATCACACATCTGTATCTGCTGGTGCTCCTCTGGGACGTGTCTCCCACACTGACCGTGGCCGAAAAACGCCGATGGTTCACCACTCGAGTCACCATCAGAGCAGAGTCTTTACCGTTCCACTGCTGCAACGCACAAGCACAAACACAGACACACTTTAGGCTCAGATATAATATACACATGCATTGTCTTGGAAGAGCACATTCAGGATGTTATAGAGAGTTTCAAATGATGTAGTCAGACATGAAACTACTGCACTCACACATCCAGATCTCAGTCCACATTCTCCCTCTCATCAATTCATTCAGACTGAACTAGGAATACTGGGAGAACATGGATAAATAAAACCGTTCGAGGTGGGTTTAAACAGAAACTTACACATGACAGTTTAGACTACCCATTTCACTAATAAGTATTTAACTCTTACTTAAAAAGCGCAATTTAAGTCTGATGTATTATTTATATTTATCATATTATTACTCTTACGTAGGGCTGTAGCTTTTAATATTTATACAATAGTTATTGATTAGAAAATACAGCATTTTGGATGGATACATGATGGAATTCCTTTTTTTAGAACGCAGCTCTACTTCCTGTAACTTTATTTTTCAACTTTTCTTTCTATTTACGATTCTGTATGATCTGAAATTCACAGTTCCTCACCTGAACCCAGAGCTTGTCGTTCTGAGACCACTTCCCTCCCGCTGTGCACTGAAACGTGGCGTTCTGTCCCACGTTTACCTCAACGTTCTGGAGCCGCAGAAAGTGAGGAGCTTTACCTGCAAAACAACAGGAGAACATATACTTGAACAAATGTAACAGTTTTCTACCACAAAAAAGAGAAGAATTAGAATGATATTATTAAAATATAAACCACAGACAGAGTAAACGAGACATAAGGAGTAAATAGGGCAGAATGTACAGTGCAGTAAGCAGTGGAGAGGTCTAAAGCCAATCCTCTGTCAGTAAAATAATGTGGTTTGAAGCAAAGTTCATATATATTTGACTTTTCTGGACAGATTCTGCAAAACTGTCTGGATCAAGTTTCAGTTTCAAAATATTCTGCCGATATTCTGGCTAGTCTCAGAACGTTTGAATTTTTAATATAAAGTTGCTCTGTAGTTACTTGAGAGATAAATGTCAGCTACATAACACAGTTTTGTCCAACTTTGTTTTTGCTTAAAGAAAGTAAATATTTTTAGAGAAATATTGAAAATACTTTATGCCACTGTTACAAAGCAGAATAATCCCAGTAAACCACTTTTTTTAATAGAAAGTATCATTAAAAAGCCTGATCTGCAAGAGATAAATGGCAGAATAAACTGATCATTAGCAATAAAAGTTATTTATTCTATATTGTTCTTACTATATATATATATATATATATATATATATATATATATATATATATATATATATATATATATTTATATTTATTTTTTTTTATTTTTTATTTATATTCATATATATTTTAATTTAGTAATAATAATAATAATTAATTAATAATAATAATTATTATTATTATTATCAATAATAGTAGTAGTAAGTAGTAGTTAGTAGTAGTAGAAGTAGTAGCAGTAGTAGTAAGTAGTAGTAGTCGTAAGTAGTAGTAAGTAGTAAGTAGCAGTGAGTAGTAGCAGTAGTAGTAGTAGTAGTAGTAGTAGTAGTAGTAGTAGTAGTAGTAGTAGTAGTAAGTAGTAGTAGTAGTAGTAGTAGTAGTAGTAGTAAGTAGTAAGTAGTAGTAGTAGTAGTAGTAGTAGTAGTAGTAAGTAGTAGTGAGTAGTGAGAAGTGAGTAGTGAGTAGTGAGTAGTTAGTAGTTAGTAGTTAGTAGTTAGTAGTTAGTAGTAGTAGTAGTAGTAGTAGTAGTAGTAGTAGTAGAAGTAGTAGTCGTCGTCCTCGTCGTCGTTATTATCGTTATCATCATTATCATTATTATCATCATTATTATCATCTTTATTATTAGTATTATTATTATTGTGCACAATAAATACATAAAAAAATAAAAATAATAAATACAAAAATAATTTAATTCTACTTTCTACATAAATCACAAAAACTCTCCCCAGTATTGCAATGAAAAAGTAAATATTGAGCCCCAAAATATATTGCTCCAGCTATCAAATATAGTATGGTAAGTCGATATCACTGTGAAAGTCGTCGGTATCAGCAGCTACTTAAAACCATCGTAATTGTTTTTAAACTGGAGATTGATCAATATGAGGTAAAAATGATTGATTATGTTTTTGTCATATTGCCCTGGCTTAAGTTGAGTCATTTTAAGTGTCAGGTTTGAGTGATTGCTTTGGTTCGGTCCTTCTTCTTTGCCCGCTGCCTTCTGCCAGAGCCTGTCCTGTGTGCGTTTTGTGTGTGTGTGTGTGTGTGTTCGTGTGTGTGTCTGGGCAGGTGTAAATATGAGATAAGCCCAAAAACCGGTAAAACTTACGACAGGGGTGAGCCAGGACGCGGATGTCATCTACGGCGATGAACCCGGGGTGGCCCTGGACCGAGACCGCCTCAAAAATCACCTGAAAACAGAAACAGGATTTGCGGTTGAACTCTGCGAGGCCTGTGCTGGGATGGGACCCTCGGGGGGGGGGAGCTGGGAGTCAGTGAGTGAATACTTCATGGGAACATCCGCCCGTCTCTCTCCATCTGCTGCTCACATATGGTAGTCGTTCCTCAACTTTCATCTGTGCGGAAATTCTAGTCTGCTTGATTTCGGTTGTGATTTGTTGTTATGTTTTTCAGCTTCTCTGTAACAAATTTTATGTATTAAGACTCTTATAAAGTGACATAAGCAGTTTCGCTGATACAAACTGAGTAACTAGGCGATTTTTCTTCATGTCTCTCCCTCTATCTGTCACTATCACTGTCTGTCCATACCTCTCTCTCTTTGTCTCTTTCTCCCTCTCTTCCTGTCCGTCTCCCTCTCTCTCTCTGTGTCTATCCAGCTGTCTCTCTCCCCATCTATCTCTCTTTCTGTCTGTCTGTCTATCCACCTTTGTTTCTGTCTCTTTGTCTCTCTCCCTCTTTGTCTTTCTGTCTGTTTCTCTCTCCCTGTGTCCATCTGTGTTTTTTGCTCTGTCTCTCTTTTCTGTTTCTCTCTCTTTTTCTGTGTCTGTCTCTCTCTTTCTCTGTCTCCCTCCCCATTTCTCTCCCTTTGTTTCTGTCTCTTTCTTTCTCTCTCTCTCTCTCTCTATTTCTGTCTATTCATGTTTGTTTCTGTCTCTCTCTTTGTCTCTCTTTGTTTCTCTCTCCCTGTGTCCCTCTGTGTTTTTCACTCCATCTCTGGATCTCTCCTCATCTGTCTGTCTCTCTCCATCTCTTTTTCTCTGTTTCTCTCTACACATCTCTGTCCGTTTCTTTCTTTCTCTGTCTCACTCCCCATCTCTCTCCATGTCTCTCTCTCTCTTTGTCTCTGTCTGTTTTTCTATCTTTGTCTGTTCATCTCTTTCTTCCTCTCTCCCTGTCTGTCTGTCTCTCTCTCTCTCTCTCTATCTCCGTCTATCCACGTTTGTTTCTGTCTCTCTCTTTGTCTCTCCTCTCTCTCTCTGTTTCTCTCTCCCTGTGTCCCTCTGTGTTTTTTGCTCTGTCTCCGGGTCTCTCTTCATCTGTCTTTCTCTCTCTCCATCTCTTTCTCCATTTCTCTCCCTATATCTGTGTCTGTCTCTCTCTTTCTCTGTCTCCCTCCCAAATTTCTCTCCATCTGTCTCTCTCTCTCTTTGTCTCTGTCTGTTTCTCTATCTATGTCTGCTCCCTCTCCTTGTCAGTCTCTCTCCTCTCTCTCTCTTTCTTCCTTTCTCCCTGTCTGTCTCCCTCTCTCCCCCTGTCTATCTCTCTTTCTGTTTGTCTATCCATGTTTGTTTCTCTCTCTTTATCTCTCTCTCTTTCTATTTCTCCCTTGATCTCTGTCTGTATCTCTGTGTTTTGCTCTGTCTCTGGGTCTCTCTTCATCTGTCTGTCTGTTTGTCTCTCTCTTCATTTCTTTTTCTCTCTCTATATCTGTCTCTCTCCTTCTCTATCTCCCTCCCGATCTCTCTCCATCTCTCTCTCTCTCTTTATCTCTGTCTGTTTCTCTATCTTTGTCCAGCTCTTTCCCTCTCCTTGTCAGTCTCTCCCCTCTCTCTCCCTCTGTCTATCTCTCTCTCATTCTGTCTCTCTCTTTGCATCTGTCTCTCTGTCTCTCACTCCCCCTCTGTCTCTCTCCTTCTGTTTTTCTGTCTCTCTCTCTCGCTTTCTGTTTAGCTCTCGCTTTCTCTGTTACTCTTCTTGTCAGTCTCTCTCTCCCCATCTCTCTCTGTCTTTCTCTCTCCTTCTGTCTCTCTCTCTCTCTCTCTCTCTGATTTCTGTATGTGGACTTGTTCTTGTATCAGTCCATTTCTCTCTCTCTTTCTCTCTCTCCAGGGGTCCGTGGCCTTCACTCGTCTTCTCAAACACAGCCTCTTTCTGAGTTCTTCTGTCAGGACTGTCACGGGAGCAGAGGCGGGCGGGAAACTGGACTGGAACAGAAACGTGTCCACCAGGATTTAGCCTGCTCCTCTCCCTCCGCACAACTTTTTCACCAACAAACTTTGACTTGTTTTCAGTCTCTGGAGTGGTAAGGTGGGAAATGTATTTTTTCCAGTCTGAAATTCACACAAGCAATGGTGTATGAGCTGATTACAAGCTTTATGAAGCTACATTGGGCTAAACTGATATTTTAAAGTTGCGGCAATGATAAACCACACTATTTAAATATGTAAATGCTGGAAAAAAAGTGTTTACTTAGTGTGTTGATTTAATGATACATGTAAAACACAATAATGAACCCAAAATCAAACATTTACAAGGATGAAGTGAAGAAATTACTAAAGCAACAATTTAGTTTAAACTATTAAATGAACTTATAAATATCCATGAGACAAGAAGGTGGTGCCTCAAGACCAATTACAGATCAGATTTGTGGAGAGATATGTTTTAAAGTAAGGTTTTTAAAGGGACAGTCCGAAATTTTGGACATAGGACCTCATTTCCTAGTGAGCCAGAGTGTTGGAGACGTGTGGAGACACTTTTTTTTTTTAAATATTCCATCCAGTCCTTGCATTTGCAGAGGTTGCTGGTGCTAGGCTAGTGCATGTCAATGGCCATAGTTATCCTGCCACTAAAAACAGTCTTACCCACTTCACAAAACACCCAAAGCAAAACAATTATTACCCCAAACGTTTGATGTAAATGTCTGTGTTGATAGAATAATGTTTGAAATAAAACTAACCTTGCATCTCATGAATCGTCGCATGTTGAGGGACTATTTTCTCAGCACCACCGGAATTTTACTTTGTTGGTAAGATAGATGCTAGGTGATATCAGTCCGCAGCTGCCAAGTTTTCTATCAGGAAGTACAACTCAGTACTGCTGCTGCTCAGACATAAACCCTTCAAATGCAAGGTTGGTTTTACTTTTAAAATTATTGTGTCCACACAGAAATTCACATCGACAGTCTGATGCAATAATAGATTTGCTTCGGGTGTTTTGTGGAGCGGGTAAGACTGTTTTTAGTGGCAGGATAACTATGGCCATTGACATGCACTAGCCTAGCACCAGCGACCTCTGCAAATACAAGGACTGGACAGAATATTTAAAAAAGTGTCTCCACACTTCTCTAAGAAATAAGGTCCTATGTCCAAAATTCCAGACTGTCCTTTTAAGGTATTTCTGAAGAACAATGCCACCAGAAATTCAATTCATGCAAGATGGATGGATGGATTCTACTATGTAATACTGAACATTCCTGGAAAAGCAATACCAGCTCCATGGAGACAAGTCACGGTGTCAATAACTGGAAATAATCATTAAATTTAAGCTGTTTTTTCTGTATTTTACCCAAACAATTTCACAATCTATGCCTCTCTTTACTGTTTTCAGATATCAAATGGTCAAAAATAGGGACACCTGGGATATTTATTAATGGTTTTGGATAAATCTCCTGGGATGGGGGCACAAGGCTCAAAACTGGGTAAATAGGGATGTCTGGTCATTCTATTCTTACTGAAAGTGGACATTTATAAAATGTGGTCTAAATGAAGAGAATACGTAAAGTCTGTAAGATTAAATTGTTGTTCCTTTTAACGACACAAAAATATGATCTCATAACTTTTATATTCCAGAGCCAGTGCCTGTATTCACCTGATGCTAGACACATCAAAATGATTCAGTTAAATCATGTTTATTCAGGCCACAATGTGTCATCATAAGAGCTTGAAAATTATAATCGTGACCATTTTAGAAGCAAAATGAAGTAATTTTCAACTCTAAACTGTCCACAAAATCATTTATCTGGCTCTTCATGTCGCCCTGACTTCACTTTTATCACTAGGAGATTTTGATTTAATAAAACTGGTCACATACTTGAGGAATAGTAATACTAGATAACGAAAATCAAATCTTTTAAAACTGTGAGATTTCTACTTGCAATAATCTTCACTCTGAAATTTCCTACCTGGTATGAGTTGGGCCAGAAGGTGGAGATGGCCAGTTCAGCTTTGACCCATCCTTCAGTGACGGTGTCTGAGGTGTTCCACACGGGGTTCCCCTGGGCTCCTCCATTCACCTGAAACAAAAACAGCAGCAGCTCCTGGTTCATTTGTGATGCCTGCACTCGAGTTCATTCAGACGTTCACTTTGACTCGACTAAGAAGGACATGCACCATCTGCCTGTCTCTGCTGCTCACTCTGTGGAGCTGTCAGGTCCAAGTACATCAAACTCACTTGTACGCAGAGGTGGGCAGGAGCAAAAATTGTACAAAAATGCATCATTAGAGTACAATTATATTTATATAATAGTACTTAAGTAGAAGTACAGTGCAATATGTCCAAGAAATTACTCAGGTAAAAGTAAAAAAAAATGTTTATGGGGAAACTAATATTTAAAGTGTGTATGACAGATTTTTATAATCCTCTAATTTTGATTTATTTATTTTGGTGGGATAATAATCTGTGTATCATTCGTTCATTAGTTTTTCAAAATAAAACCAAAAAATAAGAAAATGACAAAACTAATATTTTCTTCATTATTTGTCTCGAAAACAAAAAAAAACAAACAAACAAAAAAAAAAAAAAGGATAACGACTCTTTTTTTCTTTTTCAGTTTTCGATTTTGTATTTAAATGAATAATGGAAAAAAACAAATAACGGCCTGTGATGCCGGACTGAACCAGGACTGAACCAGGTCCGGGACCAGACTGGAACCAGATCCATTGGCAGATCGTGGCGTAAGTCGCTCGGCGCTGTCTCTCTGTATTGGTGATTTTGCGTTCTCCTTCTCTCATCCACTGCTCCCACGCAGCTCACACTTTAACTTTATAACAGCCTTGAGTTTAAAGTCGGCGTTGTAAGCGTGCCTCTTGACAGGTGCATTTTGATATTAAAAGGAATCACAGTATGTATTACTCCGCGATACTCCTGACTACAGTAGCCGTAATGCTGCAAGTGGAGCGGCTTTGTAGTCACCCGAATAAATTCATATATAAGGCGCTCTGGATTATAAAGTGCACGGTCATTTTTTGATGAAATTAAAGGCTTTTAAATGCACCCTATAGTGCAGAAAATGTGGTATTAATTGTTTATGTTACACCAAGGCTGGTTCCTATTTTGAAAATTTTGTTCGCTGACAGTGGAAATAAAACTCAGATTCTGTATTTACGCCAAAGCAAACGCAGACCTTGACATAGACGTTTAGAGTTCCAGGACTGGCTCCGTCCCGTGACGACAGGGAGTACAGGAAGTCGATGCAGTGGGTATCGTTCTCCTTCAGCGTGGGCATGTACAGGTGAGCCTTCTGTCCTGAGGCACGACCCGAAGCATTCACCACCATGTAGGAGCCTGAAAAGACACACAGAAATGAAGTTAGTGCAGTTTCGTGAAGTATAGAGAGTGCGATACGAAGATTTCAAACTCAAATTCAATACAAACTCAATATTCAATACCAATTCTGATACCACAATGATAATAATAATAATAATAAAAAACACTCTTTCGACAACAGAATGACATTTTCGACATTTCTAGTAGTTCAAGAAAAAAGATAAATGCTATCCATTCCAGGCATAGAGACTTGCAGGTCGCATACTCTTCACTAGAAAAGTTACACAATGTGTCTTTAATGCCTGTAAAGTAAAGTGAAATGTGATCAAATTAAACAACACCTTTTATCTTATATATCTTCACTGGACAAAGCTTCTGTTCAAAGTATAATTTTAGCTGCATAAGTTGTATCAAAAGCACATGCCCAATATATAGCATCAGCATCTCCAAATTACACTAAAATATCAAAATAAAATGCAAAAGATATTAAAATGTGATATTTAATTTACATAAATAAGGTCAGAGAGAAATGTCCAGGGTTAAGATTTGATCAAATTGTTCAAAATGAAAGTGTCTACCCTTTGAAATTAAACATAATCAATGGAAAAGGCTTTGTTCTTACTTAGGGTGAGCAGATTTTCAAAATAAAAAACTGGGACATCCTCGTTTTCTTGACAAAACAAATGACAATTTATGCCTCTCTTTACTGTTGGTAGGAATCAAATTGGTCAAAAATAGGGACACCTGGGACATTTCTTATATAAAACTGGGACAAATCACTGGTTTTGGATAAATCTGCTGGGACAGGGGACACAGGGCTCAAAAGTGGGACTGTCCCGGGTAAATAGTCTCCCTGTTCTTACTGAAAGTGGACATATTTTATAAGATGTGGTCTAAATGGACAGAATACGTAGCATCTGTGAGATCGGACTTCATGTAAAGTAATTTTATGTTTGCAATATTTAGTCAAATTCAGAAAGAATTACCCCCTCAAATTGTTCTGAGCTTGTAAAAAATCCTCAAAAATACAATATCATTTAGCATTTAGCTCTGCAGAAAGCTAAAGCTAGCAGTATTAGCCTTACTTACAGAGTAGCTAAACCACATTTTGCCCTAAAAACTCAACACAAATATACAAACTAGTGCTAAAAACAGAAGAATATTGCGTAGATCTACTCATAAACTTACAAATCGCATTTGCCAAAGCTCACCAACAACCAGTGCAGAGAAAGATCCAACATGTGCTATTTTCAGTCTGGCTGCAGCTGTTGGCCTCTAGATGGCGATATAATATACAGGTCTAAACAATAACAGAAGAAGTTGCGTTGATTAAAGCAGATATACTATGCAGAATTTTTACTTTTAAGAGACTTTAAAAGGACCTAGCCCATATGGAAAAAACAGGAAAAAAATATAAGAATTTACCACTGTCTTTGTAGTAAATCTTTATATAAGGTTAATATGTGCCATGTGTGGTTTACTCCTGAAAGTGTCCCCCTTTTGCATTTTTCTCATACAACTATGTTATGAAAAACTAGTATAGATAAAGTGAACATTTTGCATGACATTTACAGGTAATGTGCATGATAAACTACATTTTCTTTGTATGTTTCATGTAATATTTGTATTCCTTAATTATAGGTTGCAGTTTAAAAAATCTGAATCAGAAGGGGGATTTGCACCCAGGCTGCCCATGTGAAAATGCAGTAACTTACTAGATGAGCTAACCAGCTGCTTCTTGTGGAAGGGACACTAGCAGATGTTGAGGGCAGTTACAAGTACCTTGGTCTCCCACAAGTAAATGGCAAACTCAAAGAGGCAACAAGGAAATGGGCTACAGGATTTTGCAGCGTAAAAATCTTTTTACAGCACATGTATGTTCACTGTGATATCAGTGGAAGAGTGGTATGTCTTATGTTTTTTTAAAGGTTGTGATGCAATATTTGCATTACTGTGTTTACCACCATGCTGCCCAACACACACACACACAGACACACGCGCACACACACACCCCCACACACGCACACACACACACTCCTTCTCCTTCTCACTCTCATACACACAACACAGCAATTGAGTTTAAGGAAACAATCATCATTTCACTTGTTTTTCTATGATTATGTGGTAAAAATGACCTTTGTCCAACACTTGTGAGGATATTGTATGTGGCATTAGTGTCATATACAGCCCTTACAGGTTACAAAGTTTTATATGTATTAAGATCTTGCAACTGTTTTCACTGTCATTTACAAATCTTTTAGGATTCAGATAAAACATGTTAAAATGGTGTATGATTTGTCTATACCTTTTCCATATGGGATATTACGGAATTTGGAATTTTTGATACTCTACTGAAAATAAGTTAAAACTATCATTACATTACATCACAATACGGATACGAGCATTTTTAACACTGAGTAATCGTGGTTTATTTGTCTACATCTCCAAATGCGTGACTGTATGCATTAACATGGCTTAAAGCTCACAACAATCTATTTTGTGTAATATAGGTAATTTAACTGGTTGCATCTCATTTTAATTTTATGCATTTTTATACTGATTAATGCTGAACCAACACAAGAATCAGCACAGAAGCAAAGTAGACAACATAATTGACCATTAAAACAAAAACAAAACAAAACATATTTGGCCTCATAATAAAAGATTTTAAGTTATTATTGTAGTGCAATGTCACATAACTGTTCTTGCACACAAAAAAAAAACAAAAAACACAGGCATACATAGACTATAATGGCTATTTTATTTTATATTTTTGTATTGTATTTTTGTATTTTTTTTATTTTTTTATTGTATTTTTGTATTGTATTGTATTTCTGTATTTTTGTATTGTATTTTTGTATTTTTGTATTGTATTTTTGTATTGTACTATAGTATTGTATTGTATTTTACTGTTTTATTTATTTTTAAATTGTTTTATTTATTTTATTTTTTTGCAGATTTTAGCCAGCTCCAGAGTTTTGAACAGTGTTGTTTTAATATATTTGATTTCACAAAAACTATAAGTGGGCTATGCTTTGGTTTTCCTCTAGAGATGCTGTTTATAGTAAATCTGACTTTGTGTGTAATTGTTGTTGTTGTTGTTTTTGTTTTAACCATGTAAATATACTTTCTACAATTTGTCTTGAGGGGTAGTTAGTCTATATTTACTTATTTTATGATTATAATAAAGACTACTGTAAATTATCAAAGTACTTTTCTCTTAAACAGACCAAATTCGGGAAAACCAAATGAACACTCTTTGAAGAACTACTCGAGACTTACAGTTATTTTTAAGTTTGGCTCTTCAGCTGCTTCAACTGTATGCATCTCCAGCTGAACAGCAGGGAGTAAAAGTGTTTTGCTCAAAGGCACCCCAGTAGTTTCTTGCTGTGAATCCCACTGAGGTCTTTCTGTGGGTTTGATGTCGACAGCTTTTGGAAAAACAACACTCAAATCTCAGTAGTACGAGTGAGAGCGGCGGGTCCCGTGTGGCGCGGTGCTGGAGCGATGAGCGCTGAGATGTCCCACTTATTCTGATGTCAGTGAACGTGTCTGTGTGTGTTTTCTGTTTTCACATGTAACGGACCTCACAGCTGGAGGCCGAGTGTGAATGTGCCCTCGTCTTCACAGGTCTGACTCTGGGAGAGGTGTGAAAGACGGTTATGTGGGTCAATATAAAGTGTTACTATGTTGTATTGCAAATTACATAGAAGTGCCATAACCTTTTTTGTCAGATTCTAGCTCCAGCAAGTGCAGATTACAGTTGTGTGTCCTTGGGCAAGGACACACAACTCTTTGCTTGTGTGAGTTTTTGGTGGATGGTCACATTTTTATACAATGCTTTTCCCCCTTCCATTGACTCATATCGTTTTAGATTAAGGAACCAGTCACTATTCACACACAAAATCACACACCAGTGTACACAGAAGCACCGAAAACAATGTATTAACATGTTTATTAAGTATCAGTTCCAGAGTCTCTGCACTCTTAGCTCTCTGCGCCAAGTCACTCCCCCTTCAGAGCGCTATCACAACAAAATCAGCTTGCATTTCGCTAAAGAAACTACTGCACATCACATCAGCTTTGTGAAGTTTGTGTACTATTTTGCATCATGCTTTCATATATTTATGGAGAATTGTCATGTGGGAACATGGGTGATATAGACCATTGTTTCCCAAAGACTGGATCAAGATCTCAGGTGGGTCGTAAGAGATTTTTTTGGTTCGCCTTGTCACGATCTGCATGTAGGTCTACAAAAACCCAGACAGACCAACCTATCTCCTTAGAAATGTTGAAATGTTAAGACATATTTTGTATAATTTCTAATCTTTTTGTAATTATTTTATTGAATATTTTATTCCAATATTGTTGGTTCAATTGAATGTTGAAAAGAAAAAGAAATGGGATATATTTAATGTCCAAATAGGCGACTTATGGATCCTTTTATTTCTGGTTCAATGACTGTTTTTCATTGTTTAAAACTTGAGTAATACTAAATGTTCAGAGAGACACGATCACTCAGTCAACAATAAAATATCCTCATTAATGTTCAATAATGGTCAAATCCACCTTTATTTTGTGATTGACGAATAATGTCTATTGACTTGGGTCGTGAAGGTTTGTGACTTTTAAAAGATGGATCCCCAGAAAAAAAAAAAGTTTGGGAAACACTTATGTAGACCAGAATACATCTAAATGTAAGGAGGGTTCAAACCGCGCATGGGAAAGATCATCTTTGACCCAAGATGCTTTTTGTGATATGGTCAAACTATTTGTGCATTTTATGAGAATGTAAATATCTAACTGTTTTTTTCTTGTTGCACAGTGGGCTGAACTCACTGGGTGACCTCACTTTCGTTGGTGGGGATATGACAAACTCCAGGGTCTAAAAATGGCCGCCCATTCAAGTCAATGGGCCGAGCTCAATGGCGCATGACTCCAGATTCGCCTTTAGCCTGGCGAGGTACTTCCGGTGGCTGTGGGCTGATTGAGTATGCGCAGTAGTGCTCTTTTCTCCC